TGACACATCTTGAGAGCCTTAATTATATCTGCAAAGACCCTTTAACCAAATAAAGTCTCCGTCACAAGCTGAGGGGGTCAGAACTGTTCAACCAGGACTACAGCCTGCCTGTCCCCTCCTATTTGGTTTTGTGCATTGCATTCCCTGTACCACAGTCATCCTGCCTGACAGAGAGCCTGAGGGCTGGTCCCAACTGTCCCAACTTCCTTGGGTCTGCAACGTGAAGGGATTGGCTCAAGCCACCCTGGCAAGTCAGTAGGAAATGTCACCCCAAGCTCCAGCCATGGGACCCTGTGTCCTGGCAAGCATGCCTCCCTCCCAGCACCCTGCCCTGCCTTCAGATAAGTCCTTAATGATGGTGGTGATGACAGTACCAGTAATCACAATAATAACTGCATTTGCTGAGAGGCCTCTGTCCCGGGAGCATTAAATGTCCATAACACTATGGGAAGTAAAGAAAACTCAGCTCCATTCGGTACCTCCAACATGACAGCACCACACCACGCCCTTCCCAGCATCCCCTCCCATGTCCTCGCAACAGCCCTTGGAGTAAGAACATACCACCCCCATTTTAATGATGAGTAGACTGAGGCTCAGAGAGGGTGGTTGCACAGCAAAGAACGGGAATATAAGCCCCGCTCAGAGTGACCCGAGAACCCAAACTCTTTCTGTGTCTCTGAGACTTCCCAGCAGACCTTTGTCTCTACTCAGTGCCTTAGACTTGTCTTCGGTCTTTTTCTCATTTTAGCCTCTCTGTCCCCTGGTCAGGTTGAGTCAGCCATTGCTACCTACCTTGCTTGGCCAGTGAAGAAGCAAGGGCAGAGGAGCCAGGGATACGTGCAAGAGGGCCATGAGCAGAGCCCAGCTCTCCAGACCCCGCGTCCAGCTCTGTGTTCCTGAGAAACAGAGTGTTTCTAAGATGCCTTAGAAAATAGATTCAAGCCCTCAGTTTATAGAGGAGGAAGTTAAGGGATCCCAGCCACACCTTTTCTTTTATTTTTTGTCTTTTTACTTTTGTTTGTTTTGTTTTGTTTTTTAACATCTTTATTGGAGTAAAATTGCTTTACAATGTTGTGTTAGTTTCTGCTGTTTAACAAAGTGAATCAGCCATATGCATGCATATATCCCCATATCCCCTCCCTCTTGCGTCTCCCTCCCACCCTCCCTATCCCACCCCTCTAGGTGGTCACAAAGCACCGAACTGATCTCCCTGTGCTATGCAGCTGCTTCCCACTAGCTATCTGTTTTACATGTGGTAGTGTATATATGTCAATGCTACTCTCTCCCTTCGTCCCAGCTTACCCTCCCCCCGCCCCCCACCGCGTGTCCTCAAGTGCATTCTCTACGTCTGCGTCTTTATTCCTGTCCTGGCCCTAGGGTCATCAGAACCTTTTTTTTTTTTTTTTAGATTCCATATATATGTGTTAGCATACGGTATTTGTTTTTCTCTTTCTTACTTACTTCAGTCTGTATGACAGACTGTAGGTCCATCCACCTCACTACAAATAGTTCAGTTTCGTTATTTTTATGGCTGAGTAATATTCCATTGTATATATGTGCCACATCTTCTTTATCCATTCATCTGTCGATGGACACTTAGGTTACTTCCATGTTCTTGCTATTGTAAATAGTGTTGCAATGAACATTGTGGTACATGTGTCTTTTTGAATTATGGTTTTCTCAGGGTTTATGCCCAGGAGTGGGATTGCTGGGTTGTATGGTAGTTCTATTTTTAGTTTTTTAATGAAGCTCCATACTGCTCTCCATAGTGGCTGTATCAATTTACATTCCCACCAACAGTGCAAGAGGGTTCCCTTTTCTCCACACCCTCTCCAGCATTTCTTGTTTGTAGATTTTTTGATGATGGCCATTCTGACCCGTGTGAGGTGATACCTCATTGTGATTTTGATTTGCATTTCTCTAATGATTAATGATGCTGAGCATCCTTTAACTCTTAGAGGAAAACATAGGCAAAACGCTCTATAACATAAATCACAGCAAGATCCTTTTTGACCCACCTCCTAGAGAAATGGAAATAAAAACAAAAATAAACAAATGGGACCTAATGAAGCTTAAAAGCTTTTGCACAGGAATGGAAACCATAAACGAGATGAAAAGACAACCCTCAGAATGGGAGAAAATATTTGCAAACAAAGCAACTGATGAAGGATTAATCTCCAAAATATACAAGCAGCTCATGCAGCTCAATATCAAAAAAACAAACAGCCCAATCCAGAAATGGGCAGAAGACCTAAACAGACATTTCTCCAAAGAAGATGTACAGATTGCCAGCCACACCTTTTCATCAGCATGGAGCTGGCCAAGACCCCAGGCCTCAACCTCTTCTTTGACTTGTAAATCCAAGCCTTGAAGCTCCAGGCAACGTCCTGTACCAACCTCTCTTTCTTATCTGGTACCCAAAGTCAGACCTCCAAACCCTATTCAAATCCTGAGCTCCACTTTGAAAGCCAGAATTCTAATCCCATTTTGAAGAATCTCTTCTAGTTCCTGAGCTGTCTCCAAGCTGCTGTGAGTGTCACCCTCCTCCTTCCCGCCCACCCCTCTACCCTGGCCCAGGAGGTGAGAGCCATCTCTCAGCACCTTTGCCCATCGTCAGTCATACCAACAAGAGCCGGGGCTGGGAGGGGTCTTCCTCTGACGGGGGCATTGCCCAGACTCCGTGGAATCACAGCCTCAGTTTTTCGAGATGATGCGGCCAACTGGATTTCAGGGCTCCCAGCCCTGGCAGAGACCATGTCTACTCCACATCTCTTCTGAGAAGGCAAATGAGGAGTGAAGGAGATGAGAAACCCTAATTAGTGGAATGATCTGCCCCCTGTGTGTCTGCCTGCGGACATGGGTCTCAGGGCTCTGGAAGCCTCTCTTCAGATTCCTGTGAACCAGGGCCCCAAGGGGCTTTTGTCCAGCACACCTTTGCCTTCTGTGGTTTTATATTTTCAAGTTCACTGGTAAAGTTCTTGGGCCTTCAACCTCATGCCACTAATCATACTGCCTGGAAAAGCATTCTTTTGGAGATTTCATGAAATGTGCTTCTTAAGACATTGAGATTCCGGTGACATTTATCATCCCCTAGACACAGCCGGGCACTCCCACTTCCTTGGTCTCATTTAGTTTCACCCCAGTGGGGCAGGGTGGGCTTTGATAACTCTGTTCAGACAGATGCTGAGACAGAAGCTCAGAAAGGCAGCAAGAACCAGAGTGGGAATTGGAATTCAGGCTTTTCCCTACCGTCTTGTATCTGCCTCAGATTCATAGCACATCGGAGCAAAAGGGGTCCAATTTCCAATAGAAGACCAACTTGGGACGCCCAGAGAAAACCCCGAATTCCCAGGCCCGTAACCATATCCCTCGCGTTCTCTATCACAGACCTGTTCCCAGGGAGGATGCATCATTGGTGCGTCCTGGGAAGGCAGAGAGCCTGGGTTTGAGTCCTGAGGCGTGAGGAAGGTCTAAAATCTTTCTGTTTCTCTTCCTTTATCTGTCAAGTGAGGGTAATGAAACTAGTTACTGTACTGTGTTGAATAGTATCCGTCCCCAAATTCATGTGATGTAGCTGCTAGCAAGGGGCATCAAGGATTGATAACAACCCCCAGAAATTAGAAGAGGCAAAGAAGGACCCTCCCCGAGAGCCTGCAGAGGGGACGTGGCCCTGGCAACACCTTAATTTGGAGCTTCTGGCTCAGAACTGTGAGACGGTAAATTTCTGTTACTTTGAGCCCCCAGTTTGTGGTACTTTGTTATGGCAGCCCGAGGAAATGAATACAATTCCCCATCAGGATGTCGGGAATACAGTACCTGTTCACCCTGCTACTTTTTTCCAGCCACACCATACTCCTTGCCAGGTGTCCTAAGGCTCTATGTTCTCCTTTATATCTTCCCTTTCCCCTAAAAGCCTCTTCGTTTGCCTTTGCCATCTTTCCATCCTTTCATGCCCACCCTCTGGCATTAGTGCCTCGAGAGAGCCTTCTCTGACAGCATGTCCCCCCTCCCAGCGCTGCCCCTTGTGAGTAAGGGCGTCACTCAAAAATCAGACTGTTGTGGGTTTGAATCACTGTCCTGACACCGAGGGGCTTGTTGAACTCTGGGCAAGTTAACTAGTGCACACGGGGCTGCAGCTTCCTCGTGCTCAAGGGAGGGTGGAGCCTTTATTCGCAAGGTTCTTGTGGGGATTACGTGAGATAATCAGGGAGACAGTTTGCTCAGTCTCCCAAAGTACAGTGCTCAGTACAGGAGCTGCCACCATTGCTGTCACCATTTCTCCTTTGCTCCCCCAGGGCCCATGTGCCTTAGTTTGGGTCTCCCCAAGGGCCCTGGAGAGGAAGCAGGCACAGGTAGTGAGTTGGGAAGTGAGTCAGGGAAGGAAGGGCAGGAGGCTCCTGGTAAGGGTGTGCCGTCAAGCCAGTTAGCCCTGTGGGCAAACTCTCAAACTCTGGGAGCCATGGGATGGACAAGGGGTCTGGGGTGTAGATGCCCCAGCTGCCTGCATGGGCCGAGTGTTGCTTCTGTGGACCTTAACTCTTTGGCATCGCCAGTCTGTTACAGCAGTGCGGGCTCTGCTGGCAGACAGAATCATCGGGCAAAGAGAAGCGGGGCTGGCGATGGAGGTGTGAGCAGAAGTGGGGAGGGTGGGGGCCACGGGAGGCACAGATACGTGTATCTCAGCATCGTAGATATTGGTGCATCTGTCTGTTTTCCTCCCAGGCTATGAGCTCCTTGAGTGCAGGGCTGCCTCTTCCCCCTCCTGTTTCTGCAGCTGCTTTTTCAGCACTTTCTTAGTGTAAATACCTGATCAACAGGTGAATCTGGTCCAGCTCTTCCATTTTGCAAATATTGGAGAGGTTGTGGCGTAGCCAGCGCTGCTCCACTAGCAAGATTTCAGAACCAAGACTTGAACCCAGGAGTAGGGATGCCGTGAGGGGCTGCCTTTTTGTTCCTTTGAAACGTTGGCCTGAATGTTCTCCCTTTTGGCTGTCACTCAGGTCTGCATCGTGCAGAAGCGAGACACTAAGAAAATGTATGCGATGAAGTACATGAACAAGCAGAAGTGCATCGAGAGGGACGAAGTCCGGAACGTCTTCCGGGAGCTCCAGATCATGCAGGGACTGGAGCATCCTTTCTTGGTCAATCTGTGGTGAGTGATTCCATCCAGGGCTCCGGTGAAATCCTCATTATGGAGCCAAATGCAAATCCGGCTCTGCTAGAAGGAAGCTTCTGTGCTGTAGAGAGAAAAAATGAAATTTTCTGGGTTCAGATATTCTTATGAATATTTCATTGGGTACACTTTCTGATGACTACTCGGTAGAGTACATTTTCTGATGAAATCATTAAACATAGGCTTAATTTTCATTTGGTCCTCTTACCTGGTGAATCAGAATTGAAATCGGTTTAGAAGAGAAGGTTTTTGTATGTTCGAGAACACATGTAGAATGTGATAAGAGGATGCCAAATGGAGCCTTCTAAGGGGAATTTAACTTTTTTAGAAAATTACACCCACAGTGTTCGTGGCAAGCAGGACTTGCCATGAACATGAGGAGCTGACGTTTTACTCCACTGAGGATGGCTGCCTGGTGTGGACATGCTAAATTCTAAGTTTTGAATCTGGCCGACGAGGCCCGCTAGGAGCCATGTTCTGGAACTTTCTCTCCCTCCCACCCCTGGCTATCATCTCTGCTTTAATATGTGTCCTAGATTTGCCCCTTTGCTGGTTGTTTCCCTGCCTCTGTGTCTTTGCATGTGAAGTCTCCTGTTCCTGAAACTTCCACCTTCCTGTCTCCCCAGCTTCCTCTGACCAAATACTGTGCATTCCTTTGGTTCAGCTTTCAAGGTCCGTAGGCGAGGAGCCTTTGCTGTCCCACAGGCTGGGTGAACACTCCTCATGTCTCCACCTTGACCTGTGCCTTACCCAACATAGCCTGCATCACCTTGAACCCAAATTATTGTTTATTTATCTGTCCTTACTAAGAAATCACTTGCTCCTTGAGAACAAAGGCTGTCTCCTGGTTCTTTGTTTCTGGGAGTCTAATACAGCCTCAGACATGTTGGGGGCACTTAACCAATGTTTCCTGAGCTGGATTTTGTTGAAGGGGAGAGGACAGGCTATTCTAGGAAACAAAATCTGACAGTTGCATTCTGCATCTTTTGATCTTCAGAGCATCCTTTCTGATGGGAAAGTCTAGCCTAGCCTGAATCCCTAATATCACCAATTATTTCTCTTGCCCTTCATATATAGAAGCACTCTGAACATTGGGTGATAGGACAAGGAGGGACATCAGTTGTCCTGTTTGAGAAAATCCAAGTCTGCCTGGCAGATGCCTCAGACTTGGGCATTTCTGTGGGCAAACACCATACTGTGTGTCATACACTAGAATCTGGGTAACAAGTGTGCATTTGTCATGTCTCCAGATACCCAAACACTTCAGTTATTTGGGGGCAATAAACCTCTTCATGTTTTGATTGCTGTACGAGGAAATGTTTTAAATTTATTTTTTGTTGTGGTGACATTTGGTTTATAACATTACATAAATTTCATCTGTACAACATTATATTTCTACTTCCGTATACCCTACAGTGCGCTCATCACCAGAAATTAAGCTTCCATTCATCACCATACAGTTGATTCCCTTTACCCATTTCACTCCCCTTCCCCCAGCCCGTCCCTTTCCTTCCGGTAACCACTCCTCTATTCTCAGTATGTATGTACGTGTTTGTTTTTGATTGATCTGATTTGTTCCTTTGTTTTTTGTTTGTTTGCTTTTTATATTCCACATATGAGTAAAATCACACAGTATTTGTCTTTCTCCATCTGACGTATTTACCTTAGCATAATAACCGTCAAATTCTATCCATGTTGTTTCAAATGGCAAGATTTCATCTATATTTTTATGGCAGAGTAGTAATCAATTGTATATATATACGACATCTTCTTTATCCATTTGTCCGTTGATGGGCACTTAGGTGTTTACCATATCTTCACTATTATACATACATAGCACTGCAAGGAACATGGGAGTGCAAATATCTTTTCAAATTAATGGGTTTGTATTCTTTGGATAAATACCCAGAATTGGGACAGCTGGCTCATATGGTACTTATAGTCTTAATTTTTTGATGAATCTCCGTACTATTTTCCACTGTGGCTGCATCATTTCTAATCAGAAAAGCAATAGGTTCATTGCAAAATACAGAAAATGACATACATAAGAAGGCAACAATTATCCAGAATCCTACCACCACTAGATTACATTTCGGTGTGTAATTCTTTTTATACTTCTTTTCTCATATCAATATGGCTGTAAATGTCATTGATATAAAACCATGCATAACAATGTTGGATTTTGTTTTTTCAAATTAATTGTCTAGTAGGAGCATTATCTCCTTACTACAAACTTTCTGTAAATCACTTCTAATGGCTACATAGCCTTCCACTGTGGAGAAGTTCAATAAGACATCTAACCTCTAACCTGTCGTATAGGTTATTTAGGGCTGTTTCTAATTATCTTGCCAATGTAAATAATGCTGAGATGAAGATCTCTGAGCTTGAACTGTTTCAGGGGAGACTCCTTAGACCGAGTAAGGGCATGGGATGTACATCTGGACTGTGATGTGTGTTGAAGGAGGGATGATGTGTCGGCATCCTCCCTTTTTAGGACCGTTTTTTGATGCTCTGTTAATGGTCTCCAAGATGCCAACAGATTAATGACAGACCCCCTTTAATTCCATGTAAGCGCTGGGTCAATGGGAAAGCTCCCTGTGCACGTTGGCCTCTTAGGGCATTGGATTCCCATCATAAGCAAGAAAGGATAGAACCTGCTGCTTGATTTTGGAGTCTCCAACTCTTTGGCCTCAATTTTTCACCTGCTAATGGTGAAAATAATACCTTGTTTACTGGTAGCACTGTTTTGAGAGTTAACGTATAGGAAAAGATATGACAGTATATTTTCTGTAAATGAAAATATTGTTTACTGTAAGAGGTTATGTATATATGTGTGTGCATGTGTGTACCTACATATGATAATAGATGGATGATAGATAGATAGATAGATAGATAGAGATAGAGAGAGAGAGAGAGAGAGAGAATGCTCCTTTCAGCTATAAGTGAAAAGGAGAGGGTCCTTAATTCATTGGGCAGTACTGAGTACTTTACATACTGTGTGGTTCAGGGGGCAGAAACTTAAACCTGCTTCAACACCAAAGGGAATTTCTTGGGTTTTATACCTAAAAAGTCTAGAATTCCAGCTGACTTCGGTCTCTATCTCCTGCTTTCCCCTGTGCTGGCTGTGTTTCAGAGCCACGACTCACGCTGACTGATGGTTTTCCTACGTCTGCTAGCTGAACAGCCACAGGCCTGTGAAGGTCACAGGCGTGATTGACCTGGTCATGCGCCCCTTCCTAAAGCAGTGGGGAAGGGGCCAGGAGGTTGGTCCCACCTGAGTCTTAGGAATCTGCAGAGGGAGGTTGGGAGCTGTTTCCAGAAAACAGTAATGACTGTGCCCACCACGTGATTGGCACCTGCCACCCAGACATTATATCCTTGTGCTGGAGTCTTCATAACAGCCCTGTGGGACAAGGGGTTTGGGCCCCATTTGTCAAAGAAGTAAAGCAGGGCTCAAAGCAGTTCATGATCTTACCTGAATCAATGGAATTGCGATTCAAACTCAAGATCGTCCAGTGTGCCCTGAGGTTTCCAGTTCTTGTAGGCAAATACCACTAACCTTTATTAGGTACTTGATAAGTGTCTTCTTTAACTGCTATTAATCCTCCTAACGGCCTCTTTAGTTTCCTACTATCATCCTATTATTATTGTCCCCATTTTACAGATGGGGTAACTGAGTCACACCACTAATAAATGGAGGAGATGGGACTTGAACCCAGGCTGTCTGGCATCATGGCCCACATTCACAACCCTTCTACCATGGCTGCTGCGAGAAGGCCCTGACCCCACCCTGCTTAGCCCACCACGCCCCCTTCCTCCCTGCATGGGGCCCCTCCTGCTGGGCTTCTGTTTGCTGCCTCCCTTACTCTGCTAGGAGGGAGCATGGCGTGGGATTGCTTGTCAGGTTCATAAGGACACCACGGCTTTAAATTAATTATACATCAGCTTTTCATCTCATTACACGGAGGGTGAATTATCGCAGACTTGGAAAGCCTGACTACGCCCCTTGTCATTCTTCTCTTTTGCTGACATGCTCTATAACTGGCAAAGGCAAAGGCAAAGGCAAAGGCCGGGCCCTGATTAGTTTTCACGACAATTTGCCCTCTAAAGAACGAATGATGGGTGCTCCCAAGCCCGTGACGATCCAGGTGGAGTTGTCAAGTGCAATATTTTCACCTGTTCTGAAGCAAAGCTGTTTTGCTCTCTGGGGCTTAAGACAACTGGGGCGAAGGAAAAAGGCAATGAAAAATCACACCCCAGAGAAGAGGGCTGTGCACTAGCGGGAGCCCTGGAGAGGTGGGGAGGGGAGAGATGGCGGGGAGGGGAGAGATGGCGGGGAGAGTTTCAACACTCGGGCTCTGAGGTCCGATCTCCCAGGTTCTAATGACAGCTCTGCCTCTTGTAGGCAAAGCGGCTACTCTGGAATTGTGTTGCCTCCCCGCCCCACAATATGACTAACCCCCAATATGACTATATCTGGAGACAGGATCTTTAGGTGGCTGTTAAGGTTATACGTGGTCATTAGGGTGGAACCATAATCCGAAAGGATGGTGGCCTTGTAAGAAGATGGAGAGAGAGCGAGTCTCTGCCATGTGAGGACATAGCAAGAAGGTGGCTGTCTGCAAACCAGGAAGAGAACCCTCACTGGAACACGACCATGCCCAGACCCTGATCTTGGACTTCCAGTCTCCAGAACTGTGTGAGAATACACTAACTTCCAGTGCTTCAGCCTCCCAGGCAGTGGTATTTTGTTATGGCAACCTGAGCAGACTAATACAGAGGGCTCGAGAGTGATTTGATTCTCCCCTCTGTGTCTCAGTTTCCTTATTTGGAAAATGGAAATGAAAAGTTGACCACGTGATAGAGTTGCTACAAGGACCAAATGGGGGAATATGTAACAAGCATCCACATGGTCCCAGGCATGAGGTGACCGCTGGATCAGGGACCTCCACTGCTGTTGATATGATTAGCACCCGTCT